ACTCCCTGCAATGTCATTCTGCATTAAGAATGGGATTTCTCTCTTAATCACTTGTTTAAAAGTTAAATATCTAACTGGAGTTGGACATTCCTATCGTCTCTACTGCCCACTGTGAAAAGATCATCAGGTCCAGCTTGTTTATGGCTCTCCAGCCATGTCTCCACCATCACTACTTTTTGTGTTTCTAAATCACCCATTAGTACAGATATGATCTGGAGCAGGTATGGGCATATAATCATATTTCTGTTGGATTAGCCAAGCATATTATTTTGAATATACTCTGGTCTCCTGTTAGCTACAACAACAGAAACTGTATTTGATCTAGCACAAAGCCAGATGGTGCAAAATGACCCCTTGGGCACAAAGCTGATGTGACACAAGGCTTTTTGGACCAGACCAGTGCTCAGGTCATGTAGCTGTGGGACTTCTGACTCAGTGTGTGCTTCCTTGAAGTCTCATGGCACCAAGTACTCACTATCTGCCCTCCTATGATGAGCTAAACAAAACAGTTGTATTTCATCCTCTTAAAATAAACACCACGTCAGATTGGGGTTAGTTTGCATCTGATCACGCAACACATCATGGTTTGGAGATTTCTTTAAGAAAAACATATCCTTATTATGCAATCAAGAGGAAATGATGATCCCCGTCAAAGGAATCCTCCTTCTCTGACTCAAAATCCCAAACTGGTACCGTAACCACAAACTACAGCGGTGATGAGATTTGGGCAGGAACACAGTCCCAAAGAGAATGGATCAGAGATTGAGGGCAGCACATGAGCAGTGTGCAGGACTGCTGATCATGCAAATGGGGACAGGCAGAAGCTACGTGGTGAATATTATGGCCTGAGAACTGCAGGAGGTTTTGAGAAGCCAGCCTGAAGTCATTGCTTCCTTAGAAACCTCCAAAATGCTGAGTCCTCACCAATGTCTTTGCTGCAATCCCCTATCATGGCTGCAGCCATGACTTAATGCAGAAGGCACAGAATGTCTCAGGGATGGCCACAAAGCACAGCAGGGTGCACACAGGCAGTTGTGTTATGGCCCGATGCTTCCACGTGGCTGAGCGCAAGGAGTAAAAATCACTGCTGACCAGAAAACATGAAATTACTTTGGGAGATGCTGGTGGAAAAATGCTTGAAGCCATCAGCACTGATGACGTGGTGAGGTGGGCCCATAGGACAGTGAGTGCACAGGTGTGTGTGTGTGCTCTGCCAGCACAAACGCTGCTGGCTTTGCAAAGCTCTTACAGGATGGCACCCCTCTCCTCTCACAAGGCTCAATCGGGCCAGCAATTCATTCCCACTGCCAGGGAACAAATTGCTGCCAAATGGTATTTCTTCCTGAGATAAAGGAATAAACAGGCATATAATGTTCCCATTGTCAACCCAAAACATCTGCTGGAATTCAGAGGGGTTTGCTGTCCCTGCGTTCTGTGGGCACGGCTTCTGCTTTGTACCCTCTGTGCTCTCATGGATGAGAAGCGCAGCCTCAGAGGGCAGCTGTGAGGGGACAGATTTACTCAGAAATCTGAAAACTGCCTTCAAGAGATTCCTGCTCCCATGCAGCAGCATGGCGTGGTTCTTGTTTCTGACTTAGGAGCTGTTTGGTTTGCCTTGCTGAGGACCTGCCTGCCCCTCACAGCCCCTGCAGTCCTGTGTGGCATGAACACAGCCTGGTTACTTACTCTGCACTCATTTTAAATTCAATTTCTTCAGCATCTTAAAGTAGTCCCTTCAAGGTTTTCTGCCAAATAAAAGGAACACACGCTAAGGGGCTCATGAGCTCCGTGGGGCAACGCTGTAAAGAAGCCCCACATCTGGCCTGAAGGGTCAGAATCCTCCACAGCACTGACTCCACACCAGCAATACAAAGCGTAAAGCTGCTTTGAAAGCACTGACAGGCAATCCCTTTTTGGGGGAATTCTTACGCTAACGTGAAGCCCTGTGGCATCTGCCTTGGCCTCCATTATACCAAAGCATAGCAGGAGCAGGTCAGTCCCACAAGGAGCCAGGCTCCTGTTTCCTGTGCAGCTTGTTAGGTGAGAGCAAGCTTGAGTTAAAAGTTCAAATCTATTTTATTTGGAGGATGGTAGGTCAAAAATATTGATGCAGTTTCGTAGAAGAGAATGCAAGGGAACTGAGCAGCACCCAAGCCCTTCAGACGCTGTGGGGAACTGTTTATTTCTGTACGGTGGGTTAGGATCACTTAGCAGAACTCTGTCACCTAGATGTATTCTTTTTCTATCTCTTAGTGCCATTTAGAAAATTAACCCCTATCTCAGTGCATCTGAAGCACTCGAGTTCACAAATGTGAAAGCGCATCTACAAAAAAGCCAAAAAGTACTTTTTCTTGGATTATTTTCAGCCAGAGCACTGCAAAGTCAAAGTATCTTTTGGGAAATAAAAGTGTTTGGCCTTGCTTTCTCCACATGAAAAAGACTCCTAAACTCCTTCAAACCACCGAGCAGTGGTTAAAAAAACTTGTCAGCATTTCGTTTTCATGCTTGGAAGACCCAGCCCAAGATCTGAGAATTCAAGTGGCTGAAGACTTCTGACATCACACAGCAATATGTTATTTATATATATATATAAAGAAGAGGAATCAAATTTAGTTTTAGTGTAACTACACATAGAATCATAGAATCATGTGAGTCAGAAGGGACCTTTAAAGGTTGTTTTGTCCAGCTCCCCAGCACCACCATAGTGGGAGATCAGCCTAACATCTTTGTTACTGAACACCCAACAGGGATAACAAGAATAAAGCAGAGATTTCCCACCACTGACATACTCCCATTGCTGGTAAACCTGGAATGACGTTATTTTTGGTACCAGCAATATGGTAGTTGCCCTGATTTATCAGTACTTCTGCCTGAAGAGAGACTTAAAGTTAGAATAACATCGTTCTGCCAATATTAAATACTACACGTACTCATCTTGTCGGTACAAACAAAAAGTCTGATGTAACATCCACTGCTTAGTGGCCCTCTCTGAGCACTCATCTACAATCAGTCATCCCGACTTCTGGGGTGGGATGGGCAGTTCTGCCTGGGTTTCATCAAACAGATGAGCGCTCCCTCACAGCACTTTCCATGGAAGTGTTTGCAGAATCTCTTTCCTCTTGGATCGCCCAGTTTAGCATCACTGGGATGTTGTTCAGGGCCAAGATGGCACAGAACTAATTATATCATGGGGAGGTCTAGCAATTAATCCATTCTGAAAAGGGAAAGGAGGGTAGTAGCTCCAATAGCAGCTCCTAGGGCAGCTGGGGGAGCTGCTAACATGCTGTGCTTGTGTGTCAAGCATGGGGCAGGAATAGATGCGGTCAGAGCTGCTGTTGTCCCAGTGCTGTTGTGCTCATCAGCACAGATCAGCCCAGAAGTGGGCCCAGATAACACAGTTTTTGAGTCCTGGGTAAGCAGGACTCATTTCGTATCAGGCACTGAAATAAAGACTGGAATATCAATGCACTTCAGAGCATTATCCACCCTGCACCCTGCTGTAACACCAGCGTCCTGTTATCAAGAACAGAACCCAAAGGGGGAAGGGAAGCTTCCCCTTGAAACCGTGCCCAGCATCTCACTATCCTGAAACGCCAGCAGCAAGCTATCAGCTCTGCTAAGTGCTGCCATGCACCTTACGAAGCATTTCCACTGCTCATCATTGCATTAATGGGACTGTGCAAGACTTAAACGTCCCAGGGTCTGAGTAATCAATGCATGAGCAGCAGCTCAGAGAACAGAACAAAGAAACCCACAAACCCAAATGGCAAAACAGAATATTTGGCACCTTCACCCATGGGTTGTGACCAAACCCTCAGGGAAAGGCAGGTAGCAGGGCTTGGTGCACTGTGAAGTAAAGGGGAGCAGAACAAGGGCTCAGCAGGGAAAGAACAGAATGATCAGCACAAGGCAGAGCCATGAGTCATTTTAGGCTGCTGCAGGGTGTAAAGATCCAAACCAGGAGCAGGACCACAGCATGCTTCAGGCACACGAAAGAGACTAAGGCAGCCTTGATGGGTTGAAACTGGAAATCATGAGGGGGAGAGCGGCTGGATGCTGATATTCCTAAAACAGGGGTTATTTCTTTTGGTAATGGCTGATCCTATCTTCTCTGTTGTCTGTGAATCTCTAATCCCTGTATAGATTTCTAGTAAGCACTTGCTCAGGTAGCTCCTAAGTTCCCAGAGCCAGGAATAACTACAACGTGCATCGATTGCTGTTGGAATTCCAGTGTTTTGCCATCCCAGGGCAGGATCTCCACGGGGGTAACTGAGGGCAGGATCCACGTAGCACTGTCCTGCACAGCTCCTGGCACACCTGGGCACACTCACACTGCTCAGTGCCAAACACAGGGCAGGAGTTTGCGGGCAGCCCCAAGGCACAGGGCTGTGAGCAGCGCTTCACATCATTTGAGGTAGCCTGCAGGCTGGATCTCTTTGCATAAAAATAGCTTCGCTTTTTTTTTTTCTTTTTTCTTTTCGTTATTTGACTAACTCCTTCTCCCCGCCCACCCTGTTTCATCCTACTTATCACGTTTACAACAGCTGAAGGCATATGTCTCTAAAGATCCCCTTTGTTTTAGTTCTCCATCAGATGCGATTTCAATGTGTGCTTTTACAACCAAGCGACTCCATATAGGAGCCTAGAAAAGGGGGAGGGTATGAGGGGGGGGTGGAGAAATGGAAGTGGCAGACTGGGATAACTTCACGTTTGTAGCGTGTTGCTCGGTAAAATCAGACTATAGAATGGTTATAAAAGACACATGCAACAAACTTGTGATGAATGTCATCCAGAAGAGTCTTCTGAGGACTTAAAGCTGAAAAGCACGTTTTTGTTACAACACTCCAGATTCGTATCAACTGAGCAAATAGGTTACCAAAAGTAATACAGGTCAAACAATGAGAGCACTGCGATTTCAGCCCAGCGTGCTGTCTCTGCCTTCCTTCTCTAACTTAGCTACTATTCCCTTGAAATAAGGATGCTGGTAGTGCTCACATCCCTTTCACTTGCTGTAAGCATCGCTGTGCCATGCCTCCACACCAGCTCTTCCTACTTTCCACTCCTTCTCTGCACCTTTCTAATTTCCCGTAGAAATATGGTAACGGGAGGGGTGGGGGAAGGGGAGAAAAAGAAGAAATGATTCAGTCCTGACGAATTTCAGTTACACCGTGGTAAAAAGTATTGTTCTGAAAGCATCGCGCTGAAAGCCCAAATGGAAAGTCTCGATTCGCGTGCGGCTATTTTTTTTTTTCCCCTTGAAGCGAGACACGCGTTTCCGCACACGATGACCACAGAACACTCGCATGGCACCATCCGCTCCTCCCCGGACCCCGGTGAAGAATCCCATCCCCGCTCCTCCATCCCCATCCCTGCTCCCCCATCCCCGCTCTCCCGTCCCCATCCCCATGTCCGCTCCCCATCCCCATCGCAGGGCTTTTCTACGGCTCCTCCCGCGCCCATCCCTGTCGCCTCGGGGCTCCCCGAGCGGTGCAGAGCTGTGGGGAAGGGGATCTCATCGGTGGTCCCGCCGCTCCCAGAGCCCACACTGTCCCCGGTTCGGCTGTGCAACCAGAACCCTCCAGGTATCACGGAGCAGCCAGCAGCTCGCGGTACCCACCCTGTGCTCCCCCATCCTTCCTACAGCCCTCCATCCTTTCTACAGCCCTCCATCCCTCCCATGTCCCTGCGATCCCGGTCCCGGTCCCCCCGGCCGGTACCTGCCGCCACTGCCGCCGCTGCCCTCTTGTCGCCGCCCCGCGCTCCGCTGCCCGCATCGAGGGCGCGGGCATCGAGTCCTGATGGACGTGAGCTTCCTCCAATCGGAGGCGGAGCGCGGAGACTGTGCGGCCAATGGCGGGAGGGGACGCGGAGGGTAAAGTGAAAGTGGGAGAGAGGGTCGGGGGGAGAGGAGAGAGATGGTTGGGGGCAGTGGGGGGAGAGGGAGAAGGAGAGGGAAAAGGGGAAAGGAGGAAGGGTGGGAAGGAAAGAGGGAGCAAAAGGGAGTGTCGGCGAAAGGATGGAAAAGGAAGGAAAAGGATGGAAGAGAGACCCTGGCTAGGGAAAGGGCAGGTGTGAGAGACAGCAGGTGCTTCATAGGAAAAATGAACTATTGTCCTCTTGCTGGAGGGCACTGCAGCCTTCCTGCCTCCAGGGTGTGCTGGGGGAGCTGTGGGGAATGGCCAGGGGAGACCTCAGGGGAAGCTGTGCTGCCAGGGGATGCAGCTGTGATAGCAGAGCAGGACCTAACCTCTGGCTGCTCCAACAAACCTACCTCACATAAAAGGAGGAAAAAATGGAATGGGAACTGATGCATAAGTGTTATTTTGGGACACAAACACAGCTATCGCAGCGTTATCTTTATTGGTGCAGTATTGTGCCTAATGTTGTTACTGGGGCAGGTGTGGTAGGGTTAATGATTGCAGGGGAAGCTCTGCTCCAGAGCCTAATCTGCTGGGAGAGCCAAAGCAGTGCTGAGACACTGGGCAAACCCCTTTTCCTGGGCCTGTTCCTACTCTGCTGTGACAGAGCTCAATGTTACAGGCATAGGGCAGACCCACACAGGAGCTCCCCATGCACTCCAGGTCACAAATCCTCAGGGCAGGAAGGATCTCAGCAATCACAACAGATACACATGGGGGGCAGCTCCTGTGCAGCTTTCACAGCCATCTCTGTGTTCCTTATCAGGGTCATTCCATATCACCTGGGAATTTGGCCTGTTTCTTCATGTTAAAGATAAATAATTCAGGCACTGTGTGTTTAGCTCTCCAAAGCACAATCAGTTCTCCATCATCCAGAGTGCACAGGATGAGCTGGGTAATGGAAATCCTCATCTGGTGCTGCACAGCAAGGAGAGCAAGGGAAAGGCAAGGCCAGAAGGTAAGGGCTGCCTCCCATCACCCTCTGAGGCAGCAGCTCTGCATGGTGCTGGAAGCTGCTGCCTTTACACCTTTCTTTCAGTGGATTGCAGGTGCTGGGGCTTCTGGCAGGTTTTGCTTTCACTGAATGGGCTAAATTGGGAGCTGCTGAATAAGCTTTTAATGCAACATTAAAGGTAGGAGAACTGCTGCTTGTGATGTGCTGTGGTCAGGAAAAACAGGAAGTGTTTGCTCCGTAGCCACACTCTGATGGTTTATTAAACATGAATAGTTTCATAAGCCGTGCACTGAAATTAGAGCAGTGCTTTGGCTGGTGCTGTACATCACTGACGAACCTGGCCCTGCTGCAAACCGTTAATATTTTAATTGAACAGGATAGAAAGGGCAGCAGATGTGTACAAAGGTGAAATGGTGCGTCAAAAGCACCAGAGCTGGAGAACCTCCCCCTCACCCCCCAGCTTCCTGCTCTGCCCCATCACCAAGCTGTGCTCGGCCGGTGTTGTGTCCCCGTTCTTCCGCCTCTTCAAAGGTGCAGAAGAAATACTTGGCTCAATTCCAGGCTGTGTTTTTTCATACAGCAGCTCCCTACGTTTTACCTTTCAGGTGATTGAGATGTAAATCTATGGATTTGCATGAGCTCATAGTGGCTTTGATGATGTGTCTGAAGAACAAGGTCTGACAAGGAAGGGCAGTGGTAACCTCGAAGAAATGTATCCTACAGAAATCTTTGGGAGATGCCTGGCAGTGGCATAACAAGCCAATCTGCCAGCCCTGCTGATCCTCTCACCTCCAGGTGGTAATTGCATTTGTGTTATCACTGACCAACACCATCATCATTGTATCCTTACTACTATATGGCTTGCTATTCCTTGAGTTTGGGAAGCTCTGATCATTTTAGTTCTTTGAAAACCCTGACTTTATGGGTCAAGCTAACACTTGCAGATATCAGTGCAATGACTGTGTGAGCTGCCTGCTCACTTAGCATTTCACACCAGGATGGATTTATGCTGCCTCGTACCTCTGTGGGAGGTGTTCAGACACATACTCCTGGGCTGCTCTCCCTGATCAATCTACTTAAATCATTAAAACTCTGGGCTCAATGAATGCAGATGCAGAGCTGCAGGAGGGCACTCTGAGCTGGAATTGCTCCATTGACTGAAACTGTTGGGAGATGTTTCTTCAGGTTCGGACCTTTGAGTGAGGTGGGACTTGGGACGATCACGACAATCTTTGGCCTAAATCTGTGCAGACGTAAAACTTACTAATGCCAATCAAATGAAACCATCCTCATATTTCAAAGACACACAGAACTGATTGGGGAAGATGGGGAATTGCAGAACATTCATCAGGGAAAGTCTGGTTCGGGGAACAGGTTCATTTTTAATAAAGTTAAGTGTGCATGCACTTACAAGATTGAGTTAACACAGCCATGAACAGTTTATTTAAAGATGTACTGCCTAACACAGATTTCTGGTGCCTTAATGATCTCTTCCTAATATTGCTGTTATAAATACTTCCATGATTCACATCTCCTGTTGCAGAACAGGCAGCGAATCTCCAGGAAGGAAGTACAGAACTGGATTTTTTTATTTTATTTTTTTTTTCTGCAAGATATTCCTTGGAGTTCTATTATAACTCCAATTTGTGCCAGAAAGTCATTCAGAGGAAATGTATAAAAAATAGCCAATAAGAATGGCTTTATTTTTCAAGTGCTGGCAGTGGAAAATGCACCTCTGAAAACCTCCCCTGGGATGCTTCCTGGTCTTTGTGTTGCTGTACTTCTGTGAGACACTGCTGGTGTCACACCAGAGAGCAGCAGCTTCCATCAGTCTCCTCCCGTAGGGCTTTGCCAGCTGTGTTTGTCCTTGTGAGTGTAAGGGATCCTCTAAATGAAAGGATCAGGTAGGAGGCTGGAAGCAACCTCTTCCCAGCTCCTCATTAATAGCGGCAACCGTTGCCAGAGGACATTGTGGAGCCCGAAAGCATAACCGTGTTCAGAGAGGGATTAGACAAATTCCTGAATGGCATTTGCCTGGGCGGCTGTTAAACCTGATAATCTCAATGCAAACCTCCTGCTGGGGATGGCACTGAGCCACGGTTTGCCAGGGACAGGAGAGCACTGAGGATGGAGTGAGTGCTGTGCTGCGTGTTGTGTCCCCGCTGTGTTGTGCCACAGCCTCTGCTGGCCTCGCCAGCCCTGCAGTTCTGGTTGCAGCTCTGCACTGCCAGGAAATGGCAACAGGAGCCACGCTGCTGAGCACACACAAAGTGTGACGTGTTAACAGCAAGAGAGGGAAAGCTGTGACTTTTCCTTCAGCTGTTCCTTGAAATATTCCTGGAGGAGCTGAGCTCCCTCTTGCCAGGTCGCTTCCATCAGGTGATGTGCAGAATGCTGCCTTGTCCACCTAGAATGGAAAGAAAGAGAAGTGATTTCTTGCACTCCTATTGAGTTTTATTTAAATGATATTCATTACTGAAGAATCATGGGAAAATCCAAGCTGCATCACTAAAAGAGAAAAATCCCTGAATCTCACTGCACAAGCCATCCCATCGAGTACCTGACAATTAACCACAGTGATTGAGCACTGAGGTCACCTCAGAAGGAGTTGTGGCTCTGAGATGACAAGGACAGTGTTGTTCCAACTGCAGCCCAGAGCAGCAGTGACCCCATGCATGCATGTTCTGGTCAGGGAGGAGATGGTACGGAGAAAGGAAGGAGAAAACAAGGAGAAGGAAAGGAAAAGGGGAGGAGAAAGAAACGAGAAAGGAAAGATGCCCTGTTGGGGCCATCAGCAGCTCACAGCTCTCCCTTCTTGGTGCCATATGTGTAGCTCTGTACACCTATGTACAGAAATGTAAATATTTATCAAGACCAAGAATTGCAATCCAGGTAACCACATGGGTTAATCTGAGTTCCAAGCTTTGTAAGCATAACTAACCTGCTATATTTTTATTTAGGGGGGATACAAATCCTGGTTTCTGGAGGTGTGCTGAGGCTCACTGCACCTTACCTGCTCCAGATGCTGGATCTGGAGCCGTGGTCCAAATGAGGGCCCCACTGCAGCCGCATGGATCTGCAGCAATGTCCAGCAAGGCAAGTGTCCACCTGGTCCTGTTTTTCCATGGCTCCATTCTCTGGGGGAAACAGTTATGGAGAATAATTAAAGGTAAACATATAAAATGATAGCCAATATTTCATGTTGCATGACAGCTCAGAATTCATTGCTGTGTGCAATGCAAGCAGGAACATAGGAAAGTCAACTGCAGTCTTTGCTTCCTACCCACCTGCTGGACTTTTGGCACTGTGTCTGATGGGAATATTTGCTCTCCATGTGGTGACAACATGAATGCCACCATGCCAAGGAAGAGTTCATTGAGCCCCCACAGGTCAGGAGTGGCGCTGCAACGTCTTGCATCCCATCCCATCCCAGCCTTTGTGAGGTTTGGGCCCTGGTTGGAAGTGGTGTGCCATGGTCAACACAGTGTGTACAGCCTGGAAAGATCTTCTCATCAGAGCAACGCCCTTCCTCTTTGTTCATTTATTTTTAAAATGAGATTGCCCCACTGAACCACCCATTGACCCTGCTTCTCTCCAGATGGGAGACCAGAGAGAAGTTATTTTCAGTCACTGTTTCACGTTAAAAAAAAAAATCTGATGAAAAAACATTCTACCTCAGGCATGAACTTTTAATGACTTCATTTCATAATCTTTTCAAAGAAAGATTCCTGTTGAACTAACCGAGACTTTCAGCTCTTTTTGTTGCAGGCTTAAAGAGTTGGCACTGAATGCTGCTCAGCGCTATTTGCTCTGCTCAATTCCCCCTGCAGGTTTTGCTAAACGTTACAGTGTGACACAGTGCAGACTCTTATTGACAGTGATAT